TCACTAACAGTCCGATGCTTTCAAGTTACTGTTGGTGTAGCTTCTGCTTATAATATAAATCAACGTTTTTACCGATCATGGTAGCTTAACTCACTACTAGAAAACAATCCTATCATTACTTTCGAGTAACAGTATAGAATTTACTTTGTTTCGAAAATTTTCTATTTGAAAATTTATCGTTACGAGCGCCATTTGAAGAATCTCGTTGCTGAGATGAAATATCGATATTATGGTAGCTTTACTCACCCTCACCCTTAATCTCACCACATTTGGGGAAGTTTCTCTTTTATCACTCTATTGGAGACATACTCATGTCTTTGATTTTGTTATATTATGCATATCTATTTATTGGAAGTCTTCGGGCTTTTGACTAATAGTTATGACATAGCAGGAGAGTTATCTTTGACACCTTTAAATCATTAGCAATTGACAAGATTCAATAAGGGTAATCGCAACGCGTTTTGCTAGCTTTTGATTAATTTTATATTAATCTCACCCACATCCTCAAGATTACAAGTTTTCCAAAGGCCAATAAAGCTACACACTTCAAAATACTTCTTGATTAAAATATTTTTGCAAATTAGAAATAATTATGACAGGAATAGATAAACACACACAACAATGAAGTTTTCAACGTTACGAATGGTTGTCATCACATTCACACAGACGACGGTCAGGATCATTAAGCTCACCATGGAAATACCCAGGACAACATTGAACACCGCAAAGATGAAAGCAGTAACCAAAAATATAAAGCACATTACAAGGAAAGCAAGGAAAGGCATCACATGGGCCACGATATTTATTCCTAACATCATAAACACCACCACAAGGATGAATAGCAACGTGATCAGCACGACGAGTACATCTAGCATCATTACGCTTTCTATAAACCTTCTTATCATTATCAGGAGTCCAGTACCAATCGCGGCAATTACCACATTTGGCACAAGCACGCCCGTGACAATCAAGCTGTTTATCAGAATATGGTGAGCTTTGCATTGACACTGTTAGCTGGTTCGTCTAGAGAAAAAATGTCAGCCATTACAATAGCTTGTGACGAAGAGGTTAGTAGTCACTACATTCAGTTATCGGAGTTACAAAACTATAATAATTGACTAGCTACAGTGGAATCTATGAAGTTTTTTCATTTCGAACTGAATTTTGTGCTAAAGACCCTCCAGCTTTTAAAATTAAAGGGACATATACGATATATAAAATCTATAGAGTCTGTAGACTACATGGTGTCATTTAAATTCTAAAGATTCGCTAAAGAAAATCTCAGTTTGAAATTCAATGCCGTTTCCACTTTTGAATTTAGATTGAAATCAAATATCACATAGTATGCTACAGCAGGTATACTAGTGATACAGGGGTTGTCAAAATTGAAGACCCCTGTCACACGTATACAAAAATGTTTATTCTGTTTCAACAACGAATGATATTTATATGCCACTTCTATCCATATGTGAGACTATTCAAGTAATATCTGATACCGTGAGTCCCTCTCTTTCGTCTCTTGTTATTGGAAAAATAATTGTAGAAACCTGAAAAATGAGTGTAGCATAATTATAGACCCTCCTTATGAATAACATATTTCCTCGTCTTCCGAAGCATTTGGAATCTTTAGTTTTAATATGTCATTGTAGTATTACCTGTTTTCTATCTTTTCTATTCTGTTTAAGACCTGTTGAGAAATATTTTACTTCAAAGCTTCAGGATTTGAGCTATTTTCCGATCTTTCTTTGTTCACTCTCTCACTTTTGCCACCAGATGTTTTTTTTCATGATCCTATGCAGTTAGAATGAAGAATGTGGCCACTTGGAATAACATCATAATGAGTGAAATTGAAATAGGTTTGGTTTTGCGAACGTGAATAGATTCTAGTATGCTACGAAGGATTTTTCGAGAAGTCGGATTAGAAATCCAATTTTAACTCACACACCAAATCTAATAGTATGGTTAGAATGAGTTCATGAAATTCTACTTATCATGTATAAAAATTAATACGAAGCATGACTGATAAAAAGAGTTATACTCATACAGAGTGCTCCAAAAAAACAAGTTACCCCTTTTTGCAATATTATTTCTATCACTCTAGAATTCATTTTTTTTATCGAATTCTTTTTCTAATAAATAGAACTCTGAAAAACCTAATAGATAGAGGGATATTTATTTTGAAAACGTTCCGTCACAACTGGAAAGAAATGATAAACTCATTAAATATTAAATCTGTTGTGGAATGATATACTCTCACCGCAATAAATTTATATTTGGTGAATTTCTTTTTTGCCCTTACTTCAGATGGAAGGTTTTCAAAATAAAAATATCTCCATGTAGTAGGTTTTTCCAGCTCTATTTATTACAAAAAGAATTGAACCAAAAAATGAATTCTACAGAAACAGAAATAATAATATTGCTAAAAGCGATAAGTATTTTTTGCATCACTCTGCACATTCAAGAGCAACTAATTGCCACAGCAAGATGAAATAACTGCTATCCAGGTGATGTCGTTGGACCGACGGAGACAAAAAGATAACAAAGGTTTCCTATTTCCGTGTTATTAGTGACGATGTATTCTTCTGAATAGCTGAAAAAAATTCGCCTGTAACTTACATTTAATAATCGAAGAGGTATGATAATTGTGTGCATGTTGAGCTTGCTGTTGCAATTAGTTGCTATTGAGTGAATGAGTCTAGTTTTTTCTAGAAGCCGTGCTTCATATTAATTTTTATACATGATAAGTAGAATTTGACGAGCTCTTTCTAACCATACTATTAGATTTGGTGTGTGAGTTAAAATTGGATTTCTAATCCGACTTCTCGAAAAATCCTTCATAGCATAATAGAATCTATTCACGTTCGCAAAACCAAACCTATTTTAATTTTACTCATTATGATGTTATTCCAAGTGGCCACATTCTTCATTCTAACTGCATAGGATCATGAAAAAAAACATCTGGTGGCAAAATTGAGAGAGTGAATAACGAAAGATCAGAAAATAGCTCAAATCCTGAAGTTTTGAAGTAAAATATTTCTCAACAGGTCTCAAACAGAATGGAAAAGATAGAAAACAGGTAATACTACAATGGCATATTAAAACTAAAGATCCCAAATGCTTCAGAAGACGAGGAGATATGTTTTTCATAAGGAGGGTCTATAACTATGCTACATTCATTTTTCAGGTTTCTGCAATTATTTTCCAAATAACAAGAGACGAAAGAGAGATAGACTTAGGGTATGAGGAAGTACTTGACTGGTCTAACATACGGATACCAATAGTATATGAATATCATTCCTTGTTGAAATAAAATAAATATTTTTGTATACATGTGTCAAGGCGGTCTTTAATTTGGCAACATCGTGTACTTATCAGCTGAGCCAATGGATTGTAACCCTTTATAGTAGAAGAAAGTTAGAGAGATAACAATTCGACCTCTCCTTCGTTTTCTATTAGTTTGAAAAAATTCTACTTCGTTTGTTCTATACTTAACAAATGGTGTAAATGAACCACGAACTTGTAAAGTTTCGTTTGCTTGATTCCTCTGACAATTAAAATCGCAATCTGATGATGTATATTAATTCTTAAAAAGTGAAACATTTAATGTAGATTTCAAAGATGAGAGCATCACGGCTAGACATGCAATAAAACTGTAAGATATACTTAGCAGATATGTATGGTAAAGATTTTCTCATATTGAAGAAATTACAATGAATTTACGTTTTTCGATGCGATGATAAATTTCTATTTCCAGGAAATTCAAATAAAATGACTAAAACAAAAATTCCATAGAAATTCACATACAGTACTGTGAGAGATACGCGTTGCAAATGTATTGCTATAAGGAAAGTGTATAATTTTCTGGTTGGAATGAGTAGGGTCGTGCGAGGAAATTCATATTAATGTCGCCATTTTTAAATGGCATGCATTTCCTAACCCAATCCAAACCAAGTTAATCCCGAAAATATACATTCCATTCTTATATATTTATCATATGAAAATGGATTTTGTTGCTGAACTTAATGTCAAACCAAGCCAGGGGGAGTGTACAAGGTGCCCGGGCACTCCCATTAGAGTTTTACTTCTGTAAAAATTTTATTAGAAAAATATAGAATTGTAACGGTGGCATGCATGAGTAGACAGACGAATAAATGACTGCTATGAAGAACATAAAGGATGTTTCATAAATAATGGCCCCACTTTTTAAAATAGTTACTCTATAAGAATCAAGCCACTATTTCTAAAACATCCTTTATATTCTAAAATAGCGTGAAATTCTCTATCATCCGCTACAGTTATATTTTATCTTACTTGTATTTATTGTAAACAAAAGTTGAGCACATTAGATGTATTCTCATGTGACAGAAAATAAAATTGGCTATTTTTAAAACTTTCAAATTATTACTGTTATTATCGAAATAAATATTTGCAGAAGTAAATACATATTCTGATAGAGCTTGAATTTCTCTATCATCCTATACATTTCTGTCTTGCCTTGCATTTACCTACTGAAGGTTAAGTGAAATATTACAGAGGTGTCCTCCTTGAAAAACTATAAAAGACTGCATTTTTTACTATTTCTATCGTTTTTAATTTCAGAAGTCTAGAACGATAGAGAATTTCAAGTGCTACCAGAACATACAATTAGTTGCCGAAAAATTTGTTTCTATATTGATAATGAACCTAATATAACAACGAAAAATATAGAAAAAATTTTATTTTTTAGAATTGTCAAAGAGTACTTCTACAATATGCGATTTAGCCTTCAGTAATAAGTGTAAGACAAGACAGAAATATATAGGATGGTAGAGAATTTCAAGCTCTACTAGAATATAAAGGATGTTTCAGAAATAACTGCTCCATTCTTATAAAGTAAAAAACTTAAAAATTGGGGCCGTTACTTATGGAACACCCTTTAGAAATTTTTTAAAATTCAGGGTTCCTTTATTTATTTCGAGCTGTCATCGATCACTGTCATCATTATCAAGAAAAAATATAAGACACAGTAAAATATCCCAGCTGATTTTAACAGATAGAAATAGGCAGAATCGAATGTATAGTTTCATTGTAAATAATTATTTGTTTTTGTATCGCATTGTTGAATAAAAGTTGAATTTAGCTTATACATTATTTTACTCCAGATAAATAATTAGAAACTGCTTATAAAGTAACTAGAGATTTTTCCAGATTCATCAGAAGCTGCTTCATTTTTCACTGCGTCGGATGAGAGACGGTTCGGAATATTTATGTGTCTTGTGCACTCTCCTTAGCGAAATCCTGGCTACGCCCCTGAACTAAGCAGTGAATTTCTTGAATTCAATGTGTAAAAATGAATTTTAGCGATATAGTCTCAAGACAAGAAGTACGAACCGGTTCATGCACTAAAACAGCGGAAATCGATGGAACATGGAGCAGTCATCCTATTCCGTAATGTTGAACATTGCGGAATCAGTTCCGCATCCGGAACCAATTCCATCCAATTCCGGGAACTCGATCGTCATTCCCAACAACAAACCTACTAGTCACTGACCGAGTTCCGTCAATTCCCGGAATTCCCGGAACTTAGTCCAGACGAAATTACTCGAAATTCCCAGCAATTCCGGAATTGAACGGAATTCCGTCGGATTCCAAAATTCCGGGAATTGAATGGAGATGGAATCCCCACCAATTCCTAAATAAGACGGAATTCCTAGGAATTCCGTCCAATTCCGTGCGATTCCCTCTCGACTCAATTCCCGGAATTCCGTACCGGAATTACTGAATGTTTATCATTTGCCACAAATTGCAGTTCCCTAAATTGGTCCCTAAAAAAGATCCCTAAATTCATCCCTACTTGGTCACCAGAATATACGATAACGTTTCACGTATCCACAAATAGGGATTCGATTCAGGGACTGATTCAGGGAACCACAATTTGTGGCAAATGATAACCTACCGAATTACTTACTTATGCGAGAGGATAATCTTCAGTCACAACACCATGCGTGAGGGTGAGGGCGGGA